GGATCAGTACTACGATGACACAACTTGCGACTGCAGGCCTATGGCTAACGCGCCAGCAGGCAAATGCCAACGGTTGCCGGATCAGGAGAGACCCTGTTGGCAGCAGGGTGGAGTAACACCAGATCCTAGTCTCTGCACCAAGAAACCATATAACAACGACTGTCAGAAGTATTGGGACAATTTCGGTCTTCAATGCTGCCCCACGGACCAGTACTTTGATGACACAACCTGCGACTGCAGGCCTGTCGCTAACGTGCCAGCAGGCAAATGCCAACGGTTGCCAAATGGAGAAACACCATGCTGGCAGAATGGTGGAACAACAACGACAACAACAACGACAACAACAACAACACCAATTGATCTCTGCACTGTTAATAGACCGTATATCAACGACTGTCAGAAGTATTGGGACAATTCCGGTCTTCAATGCTGCCCCAAGGATCAGTACTATGATGACATAGCTTGCTACTGCAGGTCTATGGCTAACGCGCCAGCAGGGAAATGCCAGCGGTTGCCGGATCAGGAAAGACCCTGTTGGCAGAACCAACGAACAACGCTATCAGTGGATGAAGCGGATGAATTGGAGACTCAGGAAATACTGGTAGAACCTAGTATTGTATAAATGAACTCCGAGCCTTGAGCTTTGAAAGCTGCAGACGCGACTGAAGTATTAAACGCTCGAGTCTTTAACGTCGAAGACTCGGGCCGTGCGTCGCTATATTAATACCGTAAAGTTGTAGCCTCCGGAAATTTGAAATCTAAAGATTGAAGTTCAAATTTGAAATTTCCAATGATTTGTTGAAGCAGCAGATGGCTCGGGTATTCAACTGTTTTCAAGCTTGAAGGCAATCGTTGAAGGCTCTCAGGACACAGCGCTAGCTTTGAAAGCTTCAAGGCTTAACCCTTTGCACTCGAGAGACAACTCCTAGCCGGAGGTAGCTCTGGGTTTAGGCTGCAAGTTAACCTCTTACAATATTAGGAAAATCACGAAGTTTAGTTAATTGTTATAAGCCATTAGTATAAGTTTGACGCAAGTTTCGTGCGATGTTTCAGTGCAAAGGGTTAATAGCACACTTCCGAAACTTTAAGATTCTCTAGACAAGCGAGCGAGGTCAGGAACCGAAACTTCTTCGCAAGTTCATCATTATCGGAGCATAATTATGTTTCTAAGTATTGTAATATACATGTATCGTATCGTTCGAAATTCCCGAATACCGGGAGTCATATCTCTTAATAAAACATGAGACTATCTGACGTCCACTGATATATAATGCCGAACATTGACCTTGATCGATCAATTGTTTAAGAGTGCGTATGTAATCGTAATACACACTTTAAGGTATATGTACACCTGTTCAGAAATACATATAATTCTGAATAAATAAAGTTTATCTATTGATAAAACCTCCACCCGTATATAAAACTGGACACCCAAACATGACAACCTCAGTTACCTTCCGAGTACGATAGACCAACATGTACAAGTTTCCGAACTGAAACGTTTCACCTCTTGCGCAACATGAGACGTGAGTATCCAAACGATTCCGAGCACTCCGCAAAAACAATCGGTGAATTTACTCATACATACAATAATGCTGCTATTTGTATACAATTCATTTGCAACGTATACGTGTATTCACTGATACTTAAAAGATACCGTTTCGTTATCAAGAAATTAAGAATTCACGTCTATTGTACGTATGCCGAATAAGATGTCACCGTACACGCCTAACGATTCGTGCGATATCACTGTTGCAACCAAATCAGAGCGACACGGAAATCGGAAAATACGTTGACTCCAAAGTTGCACCGATTGCCTTTGAAAATCAATCGCACGTTTCCCATGTTTCAGAGTGGTTCTTGGTGGCAGTCGTCGCCTCGGCGATTGCTCTTATCGAAGGCACCGAGGAGATAGAATGTCCGAAGAATGCTACCAGGGATGAGGTAACCATTCCTCACGAAACGGATTGCCAGAAGTATTACCTGTGCGTGGGACAAGAAAAAGTGAATATGACATGCGACCAATACAAGTGCTTCAATCCTGAACTGAGGGCCTGCGACTGGCCCTGGATGGTACCTTGCTGTAGCACGTACGTGATGACATCACGTCCATTCACCTGCAGGGATAAGGAACCTCATGACAAAGACTGCCAAAAATATTTACAGAATGGTATTCTTAAATGCTGCCCCGAATATCAGTTTTATAGTATAGACACTTGCACGTGTGAACCTGTAAGTGAAGTACCACCAGGCAGGTGTTTCCCGCCTCCGAAAGGAGAACCACCTTGCTGGACGTGGACAACAGACAGACCAGACACAACCACTGCTAACCCGTGCACTAACAGGAGGGTTTACGATAAAGACTGCCAAAAATATTTGGAGAATGGCATTCGTAAATGCTGCCCCGACTTACAATTTTATGATACAGCCACTTGCACGTGTAGACCTCAGATAGAGGCGCCACGAGGCAGATGTAGACCGTTGCATTATGGAGAAGAAGCCTGCTGGACGTGGACAACAGACAAACCAGACACAACCACTGCTAACCCGTGCACTAACAGGAAGGTTTACGATAATGACTGCCAAAAATATTTGGAGAATGACGAACGTCAATGCTGCCCCGACTTACAATTTTATGATACAGTCACTTGCACGTGTAGACCTCAGATAGAGGCGCCACGAGGCAGATGTAAACCGTTGCATTATGGAGAAGAAGCCTGCTGGACGTGGACAACAGACAAACCAGACACAACCACTGCTAACCCGTGCACTAACAGGAAGGTTTACGATAAAGACTGCCAAAAATATTTGGAGAATGGCGAACTTATATGCTGTCCTGACAAACATTTTTATGATACAGCCACTTGCACGTGTAAACCTGAGAGCGAGGTACCACCAGGCAGATGTACACTGTTGCCATCGGATGAAGAATCCTGCTGGAAGTGGACAACAGAGGAACCAACGTCACCAAGTCCTGCTGGCCCGTGCGCTGGTAGGAAGGTTTATGGTAAAGACTGCCAAAAATATTGGGAGAATGGCGAAAGGAAATGCTGCCCCCAAAGGCAATTTTATAGTACAGACAGTTGCACGTGTAGACCCGAGTGTGAGGCTCCAACGAGCAGGTGTAACACGTTGCCCAACGGAGAAATCCCGTGTTGGATGAAAGAAGAAACAGTGACGGAGCTGTCTGTTAGTACAGGCCCGGCCAGTACTGCAACACCGGTGCCTACGCTATCGACACTACCGGATTCAAGTTGTGCAATGGAGGAGTCTTCGGAACTTCCGGAAACAACCGTCAGCACCGAATAAGATATTAACAAGACGAAAGTATCAAAGAAGACTCTGTTAACACTTTGAACTCTGTAGGCTTCAATATCGCATCAGTTATAGTGTTAAAAATTTTAACGAATCTTAAAGAAACTACCCTAAAGTTATTCGATTTTCCGCACATCCAAATTTTGCGCTAAGAGGGAAAATAAAAGATCGAAGAGATGTTATAGCATTTCTAATCTTCCGATGCGTGGAACATTGAAAGAAAACAGCTTTGCTCCTCAATGTACTTGTGATTTCCCTTCGAGTTAGTTTCAAGGAATATCGTCTTGGCCGCGTGAAAAAATATGAAACATTTCTAGTGAGAAAGTTCCGAATGCAAAGGGTTAAATGCGACGCCGAAGCTCTACAATGATAACGCTTGCATGTGCGACTCAAGAAATAACGCGTCACCAAACAAATACGGACCGTGATTAGATGGGGAAACGACCCGTTGGCTGTTGCCTTCGGTTATCGTTTCGAACAGCCAACAGAAAGCAGAACCAAATACCAGAGTTCCTCGAATGTAAAAGCTTCCGATAATTGCACGCATATTCTCGCAATTCTTATGAATCGATAATACACAATGTTCTAAAAATCGGAATTCTCTCGTCGGTTTTGCTAGATGTTACTGTGCAAGCGGTTAACAGATACTGTTAGGTACTCGTGGTTACCGCAAGGCTGTTCGGGCTTTGTAAGCGCTTGCACGTGGTGTGCCGACTTATAAACTTGTATTTCTCGAAGGACCACACGAATGATCGGGAACAAAACTTAGGAAATGAGTAGGTGCTAAGTAAACAAAACTTAGGAAATGCTAAGACTTGATTCCTGTTGTGACTGTTATGTTCTAATGTTGTACTATCTGTAATCTGACTACCTACTGTCTGAATCTCTAAAGCTTAATTACATTCCCAAGCATTGCAATGTAAATGTACTGCGATTTCGTAAGGGACTTGTTAATAAAATATATTTGGCCAAACAACCAGAGGCATTATTTTATTTCCAATGGTTAGAATCGTGCCGAATTTTTCACGCGAAGTGTTTTTCGTTGATTTGTTGACACTAATTCCGCTACTTCGTGGAGCGACGAGTTCGATGAGGCTTTATTTACAAATTAAATAACCGGTTGATTAAGATTCACAAGTGCGTATATATACTTGCAGTACACCTGCGTATACACCGTAGACAAAAATATGTATAACCGTGAATAAATAAGCTTAATTACTGATAAAACGTTCTCCCACGTATAAAACTTGAGCACCCATGTATGAATACCATATTTACCTGTCGAGCATTCTAGACTGTCGTGCATAGAGCACCGAACTCAAAATCAATTGTCTCTTGCAGAACATGAGACGTGAGTATCCAAACGCTTCTGAACACTCGGCAAAAACAATCGGTGATGAACGAGATTATCGGACGTTAATTTATTCATACATGTAACGGCGATAAGCCTACAGTTTCTTCAATAGCGCGGTCATAGTAAATTTTTCGCCGCCGCGTCAACGATTTATCGACATTAGCTGAAACTGTCTCTTAGCTCTTGGGGATTAGGTGGTTTAGAAACTGTCCCAACCCTTTGCTTAGCATTTGATGCATGGTGGAGTACATTTCAACCAATCTGGGCAAGTTGAAATTACTCATAATAGAGTTCAATATTTTATTTAAAGATCTTCAGCCAGTTTTGCATTGCTGTGAATTAACTACATAATAATAATGACTGTTCGCGAATCATGCGATGCAGCGAATTGTGTGCAATTTGGGTCTTTTCCTTCTTTAAAACCGTGTGCGTCAAAGAGTTAACCAGGGACAGCTCGCGTGTGGGCGTTTCAGAACAGTAACACCAACCAAATTATCTCACTATACAAATCTAGTTACTCTTCTTAAATTTCACCATAATGTTGCTACTTTATTCAAACACGGATACACTTCATTTGCAACGTATACGTGTATTCACTGATACTGAAAAGGTACCGCTTCGTTATTAAGAAATTAAGAATTTACGTCTATTGTACGCATGTCGAATAAGATGTCGCCGTACACGCCTAACGATTCGTGCAATATCATTGTGGTAACCAAATCATAGCGACACGGAAACCGGAAAATACGTTGACTCCAAAGTTGCACCGATTGCCTTTGAAAATCAATCGCACGTTTCCCATGTTTCAGAGTGGTTCTTGGTAGCAGTCGTCGCCTCGGCGATTGCTCTTATCGAAGGCAGCGAGGAAATAGAATGTCCGAAGAATGCTACCAGGGATGAGGTAACCATTCCTCACGAAACGGATTGCCAGAAGTATTACCTATGCGTGGGACAAGAAAAAGTGAATATGACATGCGACCAATACAAGTGCTTCAATCCCGAACTGAGGGCCTGCGATTGGCCCTGGATGGTACCTTGCTGTAGCACGTACATGATAACATCCCGTCCATTCACCTGCAGGGACAAGGAACCTTATGACAATGACTGCCAAAAATATTTACAGAATGGTATTCTTAAATGCTGCCCCGAATATCATTTTTACCGTATAGACACTTGCACGTGTGAACCTGTAAGTGAAGTACCACCAGGCAGGTGTTTCCCGCCTCCGAAAGGAGAACCACCTTGCTGGACGTGGACAACAACTCCGGAGACAACAACTATTGATATGTGCACCGATAGGGAAGTGTATGAAAGGGATTGTCAAAAATATTTGGAGAATGGCATACGTAAATGCTGCCCCGAAGATCATTTTTATAGTAAAGACACTTGCACGTGTGAACCTATAAGTGAAGTACCAGAAGGCAGGTGTTTCCCGCCTCCGCAAGGAGAACCTCCCTGCTGGACGCTGTCAACAACTCCGGAGACAACAACTACTGATATGTGCGCTGTTAGACAGGTGTATGAAAGGGATTGTCAAAAATATTTGGAGAATGGCATACGTAAATGCTGCCCCGAAGATCATTTCTACAGTACAGACACTTGCACGTGTGAACCTATAAGTGAAGTACCAGAAGGCAGGTGTTTCCCGCCTCCGAAAGGAGAACCTCCCTGCTGGACGCTGTCAACGACTACGGAGACAACAACTATTGATATGTGCGCCGATAGAGAGGTGTATGAAAGGGATTGTCAAAAATATTTGGAGAATGGCATACGTAAATGCTGCCTCGAAGATCATTTCTATAGTACAGACACTTGCACGTGTGAACCTATAAATGAAGTACCAGAAGGCAGGTGTTTCCCGCCTCCACCAGGAGAACCTCCCTGCTGGACGCTGTCAACAACTACGGAGACAACGACTATTGATATGTGCGCCGATAGAGAGGTGTATGAAAGGGACTGTCAAAAATATTTAGAAAATGGCATTCGTAAATGCTGCCCCGAAGATCATTTTTATAGTAAAGACACTTGCACGTGTGAACCTATAAGTGAAGTACCAGAAGGCAGGTGTTTCCCGCCTCCGCATGGAGAACCGCCATGCTGGACGCTGTCAACAACTACGGAGACAACAACTACTGATATGTGCGCTGTTAGACAGGTGTATGAAAGGGATTGTCAAAAATATTTGGAGAATGGCATTCGTAAATGCTGCGCCGACGATCGGTATTATAATATAGTCACTTGCACGTGTGACTCGCAAAGTCAGGCACCAGTAGGTAGATGTACATCGCTGCCAAAGGGAGAAAAACCCTGTTGGCAGATAAATGATTCAACGGAGACAACAACTATTGGTGTGTGCACTGATAAGGAGGTGTATGAAAATGATTGTCAAAAATATTTACAGGGTGGCATTCCTAAATGCTGCCCTGACGATCGTTATTATAATATAGTCACTTGCACGTGTGACTCGCAAAGTGAGGCACCAGTAGGTAGGTGTACATCGCTTCCAAAGGGGGAAAAACCGTGTTGGCAGATAAATGGGTCAACGAAGATCCTTAGTTGAACGGAGACAACAACTATTGGCACGTGAGCTGTTAGAGAGGTGCATGAGAAGGACTATCAAAAATATTTGAAGAATGGTGAACGTATATCCTGCCCTGACGAACAGTTTTTACAGACTTCGGAAACTTGTCTTTCTCGAAGGACCATCCGAATGATCAGAAACAAAACTTAGGAAATGGATAGATGCTAAGTTAGACTTGATCCTTGTTGTGACTTGTTATATTCTAATGTTCTACTATCTGTAATCTGATTTCCTACTGTGTGAACCTCCCAGAATCGTATTCGACGATGCCTCGGTAAAGTCGTCTCAGCGGGAGTAAAAACGTTCTGGTTGGTTTGTTATGTGTAAAGGGTTGTGGAAGAGAGATAAGGTTCCCTCCCTTCTTGAGTCTTCCTAGTTGCTAATGTTACTAACTAATTCGTCCAGTTTGCAATCATCGACCGTGGCAGGTAAAAAGCAAGAAACGCTTTGGCCTTAATATCACATGGTAAAACAGACGGACTAGAGAGTTAGAAATGCTGGTGGCTGGACACCAAGTGTGGACAATAGACCAGGAAAAGCTGCAGTAAGAATGGCGGGCCTTATGGGTTCATGGATTTATGGCTGCCACAGACCCTTCTCGTAATACCGTAAGGACGGTTGCAAGTCGCGACGGGACGAAGGCTCTTATTGTTAAAGAAATCTAAAGAACGTACGAATAACTCTTAAGGAAAGATAAAATGTATACAAATATAAAACTGTGGTAATGTAAGGACCCGGACGAAACGAGAAGGCCAGAAGTGGCCTCAACAGATACATTTTGGGAAGTTTTTGGTTGCATAAGCAAGCACACGTTGCTCGAGAATTGATCCCCCTCCCTAAGTCCATCATCTCTAAAGCATAATTATATTCCCAAGCATTGGAATATAAATGTATTGCGATTTCGTAAGGGATTTGTTAATAAAATATATTTGGCCAAACAACCAGAGGCATTATTTTATTTCCAATGGTTAGAATCGTGCCGAATTTTTCACGCGAAGTGTGTTCCGTTGATTGACACTAATACCGCTACTTCGTGGAACGACGACTTCGATGAGGCTTTATTTACAAATTACACAACCTGTTGATTAAGATCCACAAGTGCGTATATATACTTGCAGTACACCTGCGTATACACCGTAGACAAAAATATGTATAACCGTGAATAAATAGGCTTAATTACTGATAAAACGTTCTCCCACGTATAAAACTTGAGCACCCATGTATGAGTAGCATAGTTACCTGTTGAACATTCTAGACTGACGTGTATAGAGCACCGAACTCAAAATCATTTGTCTCTTGCAGAACATGAGACGTAAGTATCCAAAAGTCTTCTGAACACTCTGCAAATACAATCGGTGATGAACGAGATTATCGGACGTTAATTTATTCATACATGTAACGGCGATAAGCCTACAGTTTCCTCAATAGTGCCGTCATAGTAAATATTTCGCCGTCGCGTCAATGATTTATCGATATTCGCAGAAACTGTCTCTTAGCTCTTGAGGATTAGGTGGTTTAAAAACTGTCCCAACCCTTTCCTTAGCATTTGATGCATGGTGGAGTATATTTGAACCAACCTGGACAAGTTGAAAATATTCATAATAGAGTACAATATTTTATTCAAACTTTTTCAGCCAGTTGGAGTTGCCGTGAACTAACTACATAATAATAACTATTGTTCGCGAATCATGTGATGCAGTGAATTCTGTGCAACATGGGTCGTTTCCTTCTTTAAAACCGTATGCGTCAAAGAGTTAACCAGAGACGGTTCGCGTGTGGGCGTTACGGAATAGTAATACCAACCAAATTATCCCGCTGTGGAAATCTACTTATTATTTTCATAATGTTGCTACTTCATTCACACACGGATAGATTTCATTTGCAACGCGTACGTACACGCCTAAGGATTCGTGCAATATCACTGTTGGAACCAAATCATCGCGATACGGAAATCGGAAAATACGTTGACTCCAAAGTTGCACCGATTGCCTTTGAAAATCAATCGCACGTTTCCCATGTTTCAGAGTGGTTCTTGGTGGCAGTCGTCGCCACGGCGATTGCTCTTATCGAAGGCACCGAGGAAATAGAATGTCCGAAGAATGCTACCAGGGATGAGGTAACCATTCCTCACGAAACGGATTGTCAGAAGTATTACCTCTGCGTGGGACAAGAGAAGGTGAATATGACATGCGACCAATACAAGTGCTTCAATCCGGAACTGGGGGCCTGCGATTGGCCCTGGATGGTACCTTGCTGTAGCACGTACGTGATGACATCACGTCCATTCACCTGCAGGGATAAGGAACCTTATGACAATGACTGCCAAAAATATTTACAGAATGGTATTCTTAAATGCTGCCCCGAATATCATTTTTATCGTATAGACACTTGCACGTGTGAACCTGTAAGTGAAGTACCACCAGGCAGGTGTTCCCCGCCTCCGCACGGAGAACCACCTTGCTGGACGTTGTCAACAACTCCGGAGACAACAACTATTGATATGTGCCCCCATAGGGAAGTGTATGAAAGGGATTGTCAAAAATATTTAGAGAATGGCGAACGTAAATGCTGCCCCGACGAACATTTTTATAGTACAGACACTTGCACGTGTGATCCGCAGAATGAAGCACCAGTAGGCAGATGTACAGCGCTGCCAAAGGGAGAAGAAGCGTGTTGGCAGATAAATGAATCAATGACGACTCCTAGTTCAACGGAGACAACAACTGTTGACATGTGCGCTGACAGAGAGGTGTATGAAAGGGATTGTCAGAAATATTTAGAGAGCGGCGAACGTAAATGCTGCCCCGATGATCATTTTTATAGTACAGACACTTGCACGTGTGAACCGGAGGATGAGGCTCCACTAGGCAGATGCAGAGCGCTGCCAAAGGGAGAAGAACCGTGTTGGAAGATAAATGAATCAATAACGACTCCTAGTTCAACGGAGACGACAACTGTTGACATGTGCGCTGACAGAGAGGTGTATGAAAGGGATTGTCAAAAATATTTAGAGCATGGCGAACGTAAATGCTGCCCCGATGATCATTTTTATAGTAACGACACTTGCACGTGTGAACCGAATGAGGAGGCTCCATTAGGCAGATGTAAAGCGCTGCCAAAGGGAGAAGAACCGTGTTGGAAGATAAATGAGTCAATAACGACTCCTAGTTCAACGGAGACGACAACTGTTGACATGTGCGCTGACAGAGAGGTGTATGAAAGGGATTGTCAAAAATATTTAGAGCATGGCGAACGTAAATGCTGTCCCGACGAACATTTTTATAGTAACGACACTTGCACGTGTGAACCGGAGGATCAGGCTCCAGTAGGCAGATGTAAAGCGCTGCCAAAGGGAGAAAGACCGTGTTGGGAGATAAATGATTCAACAACGATTCCTGCTATAACGGTGATGTCTACTACCACGGTAGAAAATAAAATACCAGACGCGTCTAGTAGTACAACGGATGTTTCTAGTACTACGACGGGAAATAGTATAGCGGATGTTTCTAGTACTACGACGGAAAATAGTACAGCGGACGTTTCTAGTACTACGACGGAAAATAGTAGAGCGGACGTTTCTAGTACTACGACGGAAAATAGTATAGCGGACGTTTCTAGTACTACGACGGAAAATAATACACCCCATGCATCTAATCTTGCGATGGAATACGATGAAATGGTGGATGATGTCTGATCCACCAATGGTACTGGATACAAATAAATACAGGAGACTTCGGAACTTCTGGAAGCAATCATCAGCGCCGACAGAGACATCAACAAAGCACCTCACGAACTGGACCGTCAAAAGTATCGAAGCAGACTATGTTAAATGCTACCCCAACACTTCAACAATGGAGACACTTGCAATCGTGACAAAAAAAATATGAACTGTGGTTAAACGAAGAAATACCCTACAGGCTGTTCCCAAGTTGCGGTCTGAGCTTTCTCTGAGTTAAGTCACAAGCTAACCCCTTCAACTGTTATTTAATAGCCGACATTATCAAAGTCGCGAAGTCTGTTTAATTCTTACGAATCAACTGACGCTCTGAAAGCCCGAAGCGTATCATCGGCTTCATACGATGTTACCGTGTGAGGGGTTAACAAGCACATTTTCAAAAATTTCAGGTTTCATAGACAAGCTTCCAGTGATCGAGAATCGACCGTTCCCCCTAAGATGATCGTCTCCAGGGCACAATGTACTCCGAAGCGGTATAATATAAATGTATCATGATGTTCCAAGAGATCTGTTAATAAAACATGCGAGACCAAGTCGTCAGACATTATTTTATTTCCAATGGTAGAATCGCGTCAGTGTTTCGAACGCGGAAAACGGTTCGAGGTGGTCCGCGATTCGCCACCTCGTCGAAGAACGGCGATCCGACATGAAAGTATCACGGTTTCGTTTCTCGTTCGTAGCGCAACGGGTTCCATCGCCCATGGACGAGAGGAATCGTTTTCACGGTGGATGTCACGGGGAAGAAAGGAAAACGGGAAACGATTTTTCGACGGATAGTGGAGAGGAGTTCGATCGGCGGTAGAGGGGACGCGTTTTACTGCGCCCCGTTGTAATATTTCTCGACTATGTCCAGCATGTGGTATGGTCTGGTCCCAGTCCTCGATGCGTGCTTGCCGTCACCGGAACTGGCCAACTCGCGGATGTACTGACGGCTTGGCTGCCTCCGTTCCTCGAATCTCGGCTGCGGCTGCTGCGACTCCTGCGATACGTCCAGCATCGTCTTCACCGTGTCCCAGGCGCGACCGTCGTCCAATGCAGCCGATGGAATCTCGTCTCTTTTGCCATACCTAGCGACAGATCATTAACCGAGTCGTTTTGTATTGTAGTATTTAGAATTCTAGATACTATGTAGTTCTAGATACTTGTAGTTCCTAGAATTCTAGATACTATGTAGTTCTAGATACTTGTAGTTCCTAGAATTCTAGATACTATGTAGTTCTAGATACTTGTAGTTCCTAGAATTCTAGATACTATGTAGTTCTTGATACTATGTAGTTCTAGATACTTGTAGTTCCTAGAATTCTAGATACTATGTACTTCTAGATACTTGTAGTTTCTAGAATTCTAGATACTATGTAGTTCTTGATACTATGTAGTTCTAGATACTTGTAGTTCCTAGAATTCTAGATACTATGTAGTTCTAGATACTTGTAGTTCCTAGAATTCCAGATACTATGTAGTTCTAGATACTTTTAGTTTCTAGAATAGAGTTACTGTTCTACTTTTTTATTTTTTCATTCTTTTTATCCAGAATTCTTAGCGTGGGTTAAGGATGAAGAGTAGATGGGAGACCATACGATTAGGAATAGTTCAGTTGAAAGTGGTATCTGCTATACCGTCTACCGATCGGTTGCCAAAAATCGTCGACGTTTCGACAGAGGTTGCATCGTTACCTGGCTTTCCCGTTCAGCGAATACCAGTCTGTCACGTGGTCCAGATATCTCCGCAGCTCCTCCGAGTTTAGAAACACCTCTGGCCGAGTGGGTCTCGCCATCGGGTCCGGGTCACCGTGGACCATCACGGTTTCCAGAACGGCGAGGACGGCGAGCAGATAGATCGCGCTCGGATACGATTGCATCGTTCGCATTCAGACACGGCCCTCTTTACTGGAAAAGACGCTCGCGCTGCGAAGACCGCCTTCAACACAGAAAATTAATCCTTTGAATGCAACCGGGGCGCATATACGCTCGGAGAAAGTCACTTAGATTCACGTAGATGTTCACCGTAGTGACGTTGACGTTACCACCTTCAAAGGAAACGCGTATTAACCCTTTGCCCTCGAAAGTTTCTCTCTCGAAGTACTCTATACTTTCTAATTGGATGTAGACAGGATTCTTTAAAATGAATCTAACAAGAAATCATATATAAATTACCGAAGCTAGTTTCTTTCAATATTTCACGCATTGACGCGGCGTACAATGGTTAATGGTAAATACCGAAGTTTATAATTTTGCTGTATCAAATCATCCGGCGGCTAAGAGCCTCTCGAGTGCAAAGGGTTAAGGCACTCCGTGCCACCGGAAATTTCAATTGTATCTTGCTTATAAAGTGCACTGATTTTTTCGATGACAGATCAAGTTACACTCAAGCTTTTGCTGACTTCTAACACTTTCTTGACCGGCAATTTTACGCAGAAACTATCCCGTATCGCCGGTTATTATTCCGTAGTTAAATATGAAAATGAGATAATTTAAATAAACTTTAATGTACTTTATTTAGAGTTAGAGCTTAGAATTTTTCTCTTTCTCTGATAAATTATTAACGGCAAAGTAGCCGTATCGATCGGAGTTTAGAAAGAAATCATAGGCCAAAGGGTTAAAGTCAGTTCAAGATATCCGCCACAAGTCTAACAAGGTTAACCCCTTGTCCTACAACGAGTGAGGCTCGTGATGAAGATTTTCAGCATGATTCAAAAAATATGTATAGTCGAGTTCAAAGTAAATATTATTCCTCTGTAATCAACTATTATACTTAAAAGGAATTTTTCTCTTTCTCTAATAAATTATTAATGACAAAACAGCCGTATCGATCAGAGTTCAGAAAGAAATCATAGGTCAAAGGGTTAACAAGTGCGCAGAGAGCTTCCGCGTTAACCCCTTGGCGTGCAATGACGAGTGAGATTCGTGAATAACAATAATCGATGTTGTTCGTTACCCACGAATCAGAGCAAACAACTATTTTGCTATAATCATTGTATTATCTTCAAATAAATTCACTTGAAGTAGAATGGACAATTTTGTTGCATCTCTTCCAAATTGTCGATAGCAAAATGGTAGATGAGCTTAGCGGCGGAAGTAAATAGCACGCGAAGGGGTTGACCTGCACTGAATCGGAAGGGTTGAAGTAGCGTTTCCGAGTTCGTATGTCATCGTCGATGCACGCGGAAGCAGCCAGACGTATCGCTCGATCGGCAGGGCGTCGGTAAACGAGTCGTTTCAGCCGGGAAAGCTTGCGTCAACGGAAAACGGCCGAGAATAACTAAGCGATAACGCGTCGCGGCAAGTCGAATCTGGCCGGAAGCCGAACTGGAAGTTGAGTTACCTGTTGCACCGTGCTCGCCGCTCGGCAACTTCGGCGATGATAAAAGTTTTCCGCAGGGGACGCACCGGATTCAATATTGCAAGCGATCGATACCTCGGCGAAATGAAAATTCCACGACGTTAATTACCGTCGACCACTTTCGAACGTCATCGAAACGAATCGGGCGGACAGCTCTGCGCGCGATCTCCGCCGACGCGGGTTCCTTTATCGGTATAGAAACGATTAATCAGCCGAACGGGAATACGAGAAGTCGAGAAAGGAAGCCGAAACGAGTTGACTCGCCTTCCTCTGTCGCAAGGCGCGACGAACGGACGGTTCGGGTAACGAAACACCGAGCAATCGAGCCTCGATGTCTGTCGTCGAGATGTTCGTAGCTCTAAACTTCTTCTATATTTCAAATGAATTCCCCTCAAACGAAATTCTCCGTTTAAACCCGAACGACCTATTCCCGATGCTTCTTACTGCAGTTATTGGACACGTAACAGATGTTTCTCTGAAATTATTGGAAAAACTGATTTACCAATACGAAGACTAATTTGAAAATCAATTGAAGCTTCAATATATGCATTCTTAGAGATTCTATAGAAGAATTTCAAGCGGTCGATTTAACTAGGTAGTTTCAGTGTTAAAAATGACTTTTCCGGGACTACGAGGCGCGGTAGGATCGACGCGTTATCTACCGATAGTTGGCAAACAATTTGAAGATTAAAAGTGAATGCAGAGATTTCTCAATGAGATCAGCGACTATCAATAGCGAAAATCGCGATCGTCGATCAACGATTGCGTCGGTTGCTGAAAATTCGAGGTAATCGCGTCGAGGATTTCGGTGGGCGCCGATTCGACGGGCGACGCGTTAATTGTTTCGTTCGGCGGCGATGCCGGTCTGACGGCGAAACGAGCCGAATTTTATAGGCAGCGTCTCAATTCGACGATCTTTATGGGTCGTTCGCGAGGCGATATCGCTCCGAGCCGACGTCGGCTTAGCTTGTTCCACGGCCAGTTTTCATAAAGCCGAGGAGAAACATACCGAATCGACCGTGTCTTTTCCCTCGTTTTATAGCGGTCCGCGGACTAAAAGAATACACATCGTTAGGCGAAAACTGCCGCATAAAAGGTACTCCCGGCGAGCTCGATAATCCTGCAACAAAGCTGCTCAAAGAAGAGGACGAAATATTCCCGCAGGATATCGTGTCGCCGCCGCCGTGCGGACCGTGCTACGTCTCGTCGGGGACGCGTTGCCCTTTCCCGTATAAATGTCACCGCTAGTTAACCCCTTTCGCCGTTGTACCGCGCGAAAAACCAATGTTTTACGATACGAAACACGCGCGGACAGGTGAAATTCGATTAAGGCGAACGTACGGACGGCCTCGCTGCGACGAACGGTCGAACTACCAACGGCTTCCCCGATATTCGCGGATAAACCGATACCTTCGGCCATTTTGGAGGTTCACTTACGAATTAATCGTTGGATGTGATAGTTATCAACTGTTACCGGTTGCATCTTGTCGTTAATGTTACAGATTCTCTGTATTGTGCGTTATATACGTGCTAATCTGTCCGACGTCGGTCGAACGCATCGAATTTCTGATTATACTGCGCGCGGGAAGGTCTGACGATTACGTCGGGAAAGAATTTTGAAGGGAATGAAATTGAAATTGAAATTCGTTCGTTCAATTTCGAGACGTACCGAAGATAAATGTAGGATGATCCACTCGGAAACTGTCGCGGGACTAATGGTATGATTAATGCGATACTGCTATTCGCGCCTCATTTTCCCCGTTTTCAAGTGACAGTAGGATCTTCGTTCATGGAAAGTCGATACCTTAAGACGCGAACGGAATTCGGCGCGAAACTATCGAATTTTAATACGTTAAACGCGAAGGTCTGCGAGCAAATTAAAAGATTGCGTTTGTACGCAAGCACGAGACATTACAGAAGTCACCTAATTCTATTCGCAATGTTACAACACTAGAAGTACCAGACATTAAAATGATTCATTTTTAGTTTCTTCTTTTCGCGATGATTATAAAAATAACCGATATCTCTCTGAACGGTTATTAAAGAAATTGATACAACGATACGCAAACTGGATCAATCGAAGTCTCGACAGATGCACTCTTAGAGTTTCTATAGAAGAACTTCGTAAAGCTAGCTTAACTCGGTGGTTCTAGGGTTAACGCATTGCGCACCGGAGAAATCTCGGTTTCATTGAAACCTACCATTGTAACTTTGCTAACTACCACACCATTGGAGAAAATATTAAGCTTCGTTACAACTGATTGCTCGTTTAACACTTACGAAACAGTAACAAGACATCTCAATATGTTCCATATCGCGATCTATCGTGAACTGAAGTTGACCTCGTTAAAAAATCGGCCCGTTTCCCAAGAATAAACCGGTACAGGAATCGGAAAAATTCGTTACCCCAAACACGAAGCAATCTCCTAACGTCGTACGACTCATGAAACACTCTTCGAATCTGATACCGTCGATCCGCGGGGACAGTCGGTGTCTACGCACTGCGTGTGTTGAATCGAATCTTCTACGCTTCGTCAATTTCGTAACCGTCATTGGAAAAGTCGAAAATCAATTCAGAATATATAATTAATCTTAGAATATAATATTAACTTAGAAGGTGTCCGTTAACACCTTCGAGAGTAGAAATAGTTTAAAATAGTGTTAACACATTGCGGACCGGCTAACTTTCAGAAAACTGAACTGTGATGGCAATTTTTACTGAGGTCAATTTATATCGCTATACATAGAACAACTCAGGTATCATATTGTTATGTAGTATATTTTAACCCAGTCACGAATATACTCGTAGCAAGAAATTGCCAGTTTGGTACAATCTTGGCTGTATTTGAAATGTATAGCAATATAAAGCAAAATAAATTGAAAGTACAAATGAAATCACATTTTATGCTAGCAGTGAATGGGTTACTATAAGATTTGTCATTGTTACAAAAGAACAAGGAATATTGTACAGAATGCCTAAAATTCTCATGGCAGTGAACGTGTTAAACGGATAATCAATTTGAATTAAATTTTATATTTCTTCAATGCCGCGGTAATTAGCGAAATTCCATAGCTAAGTGTCTTTACATGAAAACGATATTTCTCGTTACTAGGCAACGTGTTAAAGCGTTCATCACAGTTTCCCAGCATTCGCCGAGACGTTTCCCTGCGAGCAAGAAGACGAAGCTATAAAGAGCGCCAGGGAAAATATCACCGGAGGTTTTCCTGCTCGATTCTCGATTGCCGATCACTGCGGGACGCGGCCGCGAGGGAACACCGTCGATTCGGAGAAGAGGTTCACACAAGTCACAACGGGAGCACACAGATCACGCGCGGCCGCTCGGTACACGAACGCTGGGGCTGGATTTCGGAGCAACACCTACTCACCGGTCGATCGGAGAAGTCGATTCGAGACTGAGGTTCGTGACGGTGAAACCGATCCGGGCCTACGTCGACGAGGGGAAACGCTTTCTCTATCCAGACGAGCGATTCGGAAGTTCGGATCGGCCGCTGGTGCCACCGACAGGAGTATATATACCTGTGAACGCACCCTCCGACGCATCCCCTCGGCTGCAGCCCATCTATCGCGCAGCCAATCCACGAGGTCCAACCCCACCAGCCAGCTTCGCCTCCGCTCGCGCCCGTAGATCCTTTCTTCCACCGTTCGATCCTCCCGAGGCTCCCGCCGTTCGACGGGATCGACGAATCGAACGACTAAACTGAACGACACGAGCGTCTCGCGATGGAAATTACCGACTATGAGGAAACTGCGTACCGTATAGTTTCGCGGAAACCGGTTTCAACCCTTCGCAGTTCTCCGTTAACCCTTTGCCCTCGGGAAAACTATATTTGACAAGGGAATACTATAGAATCTGATATTTAACGCGGAACTTTGTATAGTGCCTTCAGACGTGAAATATTGGAATGAAATAACATTGTTCCTCTATGTACTTGTGACGTTCGAGTTAGTTCAAGGAATATCGTCGAAAAATATTGAACATTAATGAACTGCCGAGTGCGAAGGGTTGAATGTATTCGAGATTTTGTAATGAATTATAGGTGATATTCTTTGAAGAGGACTGAATGAGAGAAGATGCATGAGTTAAGGGAGTTGTTTGAATATTCTATGTATTTATGAGTTACAAGGTTAATATTGCAAGACTTTATAAATTATATCAAATCGAATGAGAGATACTTCTCGAAAAGGTTAATGAGGCTGTCAAATATCGAACTTCGTGGTTTTGTCGTAGGAAGTCGAGTCTCCCGAGTGGAATGAGTTAACGTATGAATAGAGAATCGTTTCGATTCCAGATACATTCTGGGATGCAACCTTATTCTATTCGAATATACGAATTATCCGCATCGTTTATCGAAAGATTCAGCAAACAGTATCCCATTGTGGATTCTAAGAGTAGAGGAAAGCTGATCTTTCGCGCTCGACGAACGCGACGGTTAAACGTATCCTGCGAGTTGCATTTTGCAGGAGTATTACGCGCAGAAATCTAAGAGGAGCAACTGGAAGTTTCCGGTTGAGTGTCGAGTGCGCGTGCGAGGTGTTCTCGGGGAAGGTGAAAAAACGACAGAGTAGAACCGAGAGAAGAGAAGAAGGTCGGATCCGATGATAAAGAGATTCGCGGACGATTCAACGGTCGAGATCTCCGCGTTTGAAAGCGGTCCGCGCTGCGGCGGCGAAGTTCTTCCTGCCTCGTTCGCGATAAACCGCCGCGGACGTGTAATCAGATTGGTTCGAGACGCGGAATCTAATGAAACGCGTTTACGGGACGTTTCTGAAACATAAAAACGAATATTACAGTCGCAAAGGATCCCGGGGTATCATTCCGCGCCGCTCGCGAGCCGATCCCTTTAACGATCAAACGGCAAATGGATAAAAACGTTTGCCGGCAGAGCGTTCCACTTTCATCTCGGTCCTTACGCGTGTTCCAGGCGAAGGCAGTCGGATCAGTGCGACGATCGAGGAACGCAAAGAGAAGATCGAGAACGTTTTTCTTTGAATATTCGTAGCCTCAAGAGAAATTCGAGATTCCTACCGTCGCTTCTGGCTTATGGAAACCAACGAGTCATCGATTTATTTATTAATATACCACGACACATGTTACAGGGTACGATCGTGATTGATTGAACAATCGGCAGATCAACAGGTTGATATTACGAATCAGATAATCACGACCCTCTGAAAGAGTATTGTAATCTTATCAACTGATGGGAACAACGGGGCGATATTGTAGTTTAACCCCTTCGATCATGGCGTCCTCGTATAAGGATATACTGAATAAATGCTTAGTGTATCTATTTGACAATGGTGTCGACCTCTCTCATCAAATGATCATAAAATAACATTAACACTAAAACTACGGGTCAAAATCACCCATTCCTGATCTCTTCTTTTCGCAATGATTTAAAAGAGAACGGGCGTTTCTCTGAGAAATTATTGAAGAAATTGATTTAGCAGTGCGCAAACTGAATTTCAAGTCAATTAGAATCTCAATAGATGCACTCTTGGAGTTTTTATAAAAGATTTTCGAAAAGTCAATCTCACTGCTCGGTAGTTTTAGTGTTAATTCAAGTGGACTCAGGGAAAAATCATTCGTGGCCGAAAGATTTACCCTTTTTGGACGAATGTCGACATTTCGATGAGGTCGGATGTTCACATTTGGAAGACTGAGTCGCAAACGAATGATTTAATTAGTCAAACAGCAAGAGATTAGCAAGTAGTTTACTTTTTTCCTATTAATTAAGCAATCGATACATAATTTAACCCTCTGTAGGCCTATGTAACTTTGAAGTAACATATCAGTATATTGGCATCCTGTTGATTTATTTCGTTGTGCACTCAAAGTGGTGAATAAAATTGAGTAATCAGTTAACTTCGGCTTTTATACGCTCAAGTGTGAAAGTTTAATGTCGTAATTTGAAAGTTAGAAGATATATTCGTTTGATGAAAGTATTGAAACTATTGAATACATTATTAATTCGTGTTCGTACGTGGATACTTATCAATTTAGTACTGCACAGGTTTTGTTATAATTATAGACAAACATTCGGCTTATAGAAAGTTAACTTCAACTGCTAAAGGTTTTGTGCATTTCAAGGAGTCTTCGTCTGCAAAGGGTGAAACTATTCCCGCGGAATATAAGAACTCGATGATACCGGAACATTCGTATCATCGTTGACCGACGCATCGAGGTCGCAAAGAAATGATTTAATTAGTCAAACAGCAAGAGATCAGCAAGTAGTTTACCTTTTTCCTATTAATTGAGCAATCGATACATAATTTAACTTCAACGGCTAAAGGTTTCGTACATTTCGAGGAGTCTTCGTCTGCAAAGGGTGAAACTATTCCCGCGGAATATAATAACTCGATGATACCGAAACATTCGTATCATCCTTGACCGACGCAGCGAGATTCACGATTATTACTACATAGTGCACGATGTGCGTTTGTCTGCGACGAAGAAACGTCCTCGATATTTTCCCGTTGCTCCGTCACCGTGGAAAACGGAACGGGGACGAAGGAGGAACGATAGCGGAATCGATCCAACCTTGCCCACTAATGCCCCGCTAATCGATTTACCATTCATCCCCGAATTTCTGCGGTCTTTGTGTAGTACCCCGTAAACTTCCGGAAGATCACCGGAGCCGGTTCCCCTCGACTCGCTTTATATTTAAAATAAAACGCGGCCCTCCCACCGTCCCCCGTTCTTCTCTCTTCCCGCTGCATCAGCGCGTGTAGGTGGACCGGGACATCCACGCGCTCGTACCCGCGACACTAATCTCCGAGGGGCTTAACGCTACTTCTACCGGAATTCGGAAATTTTCATTGAAACTTGTTTTCTCAGTTTAATCATTTTTCCTGAAATGAACTTCGGACATTTCCTGTAGTTAAAATTATAATCGTTATTGGAAAAGTTGGAAAATCAGTTCAGAATATACGACTGAGCGAACAAGTTTCGACAAACCTGAAACATCTAAGCAACAATTTTTGTAGATTTATAAATATAGTACCTAAAATATAAAATATAAACATTTGAAACGTTTCGGGGTAGAAACAGATTTTCGCGCTACGCTGCCTAATTGTTATAACTTCGAAGGAAACGAAGATTTTTACTGTAAATAATTCCTGTCTGTTGTCGAAACACGCGACAATATGTCTGCGAAGTTTAGAATCGATACGTTCGACGGTTGTCTTTGAAAAAATTCCGGAAGATCGATTTGTTCTCGGACCGTCTCAATGAAGAGATTTCTAATCTCTAATTTCATAGAAATCACTCGTGACTTGGACACTTTTAACGAAACGAGTGAAATGTTTGTTAAACCTGATTAACACATCGTTGACTTGCACTTATTTCAATTTTTGAAACACAGGGCAATACGGAACACTGCAGAAGCAAAATATTCCAAATTATATTTAATTCATTAGAAGTTCATTTGGATTGTTTCACTTTCATATTTAATTACGAAATAACCGGTGACACGAGATAGCTTCTGCATGGAATCGCCGGTCAACAATGTGTTAACAACGGAACGTGTAGGACGCGATGCGTTAAAATTGTTAGACCAAGGGGGTAGGGGTGAGTTTTGTGAAACGCGTGGTTGTTCGATAATGATGGCGATGCTGTTGCTGCTCGGGCAATCTCTCCTGCTCCCGAAGGCACGTGAGAGCCTCCGCGGAAGACGTGACGGACATAACGATGAAAGCGTGAAACGGGACACCGAATGACGGGCACGAGCCAGTCAATGAGGGATGAGAACGACACATTAATAAAAGGGGAACGTTAACTCTCTTAATCCGCCGGCCTTCGATCTCCCATCGAACCTTGTGTCCCATGAAAACCGACGCGTATGCGAGATGAATTTCGTTATATAGGGTGCTCCTGAAATCGTAGGACAATGAGCGAAATTGTACGTAAGAGCGACGACAAAAGTGTAGACGGTTCGCCCTTTTGCGTGTCAATACTTGGGGGCCTGGGAGATAGACCAGGCCCATTGACCAATTTATGACCAAGGGGACCACCAGGATCTGGGTCACGTACGCCCTCGTCTGAAGAGGTTTCCTTCTTAGAAAAGCGTTGAGGAAAAGTTAGTCGCCGTTCCTCGTTAGAGCCACATCGCGTAATAAATATATTTAACCTGACTACGGAGTTTTTATTTTAGTAGCCCTAGAAAAGTATGGAATGAAATATTTACTTTCCAGCTAATTAACCCCTTGCCATACCATTTAACCGGGCAGAATCCGGGCCGTAATTATGGCGACCGATATCTCGCGTGTTGTCACCTCGCGATATTTATGTTTGGTCGAAAATTTTGATCACGAGTCAAACTCGTTAAAGTACGGTGAGGTAACCGTTTGAGTGCTGAGGAGCGCTATAGCGCTCTTGTGTTGCGCCAAAATTGCGGAGAGCGCATATAATAATGATTTTCTTACTGTATTCTCCAAGAAATAGATCAAAGTAAATTTATTCGAATAAATGTTATTTTTTGATATTTTTTTGTAATAACAATATTTGTGAT